GGAAGCAGCCCTCTCCCTGCAGAGCTGGAGTAATTAACAGACCATTAAGTCACTTCTGCTTCATTGAGGGGGATACCGTGGAGGTCACTGCTTTGAAAACCTTTGTTCTCCAAGGAAATTACAGGATTGTTTTCTGTTTAGAACAAAGCCTGGTGAACTCAGGAATCCAGAGACAAGTTTCTGTAGCTCAGGGAACTCCCCAGAAAAGGGTCTTAATGACCCTCATTCCATTAAAAAAGATTTCCTCCAATCTCCTCCCTCCTTTTATTTTTCTTTAAAAAAACCCAGTTAAAATAAAAACGATTTGCTCGTTTGGTGATGACTTACGGGGACATGAATTACAGAGCTGCCCCGGACTGAAGTTTATCTCCGTGTCAATAAATCTCTAAACAACTGCCATGAAACTAAGTACAGCCACCATTGCTTCTGTTTATTTCCATGTTAATCAAGGCGTCTGCTCCTGTCCTCTCTGTCTAGTAGAAGGAATGGGCAGTATGTTTTCTAGCATCTGAAAAAGCCATAAAGGTCATGCTTGTAGCACTTGCGCTTTGTGCTGTACTGGAGTTTTACCCTCCTTAAGAGGTCCTGTGTCCTCCTGTGGGCTCTCAGGTCCCTAGAAGAGACATTATTTCTCACTCATTCTAAGAAGTAAGAAATGTCTTATTTTTGCTCTTTTACCCTCGTCTCCCGACACAAAGTGCTCCCTGCCTAAGCCCAGGAAGAGGAAGAAGAGAACACCCCAAAGAAGTAGCTGCTAGCGCACTGCAGCGTTCTAGGTTTACACGTGGGTCCCAAAGACCGTGTGAAATTCCTTGTCCTTTCCTGAAGTAGAAGGGAGAGGCCCAAGGATCAGGAGGAGAGAGGAGTCTCCATGAAATGTGCCTGTTCCAACCTCTATTTCCTCCCGTGGAATCCAGGGTCCAGTTTCGGGTAGAAGCCAGTTCTCAGTGTTGCAGGGCTGCAGAGAGCAGAGGGCTCCCCCCCGACCCCCTCCCCCAGCTTCGGGGGGAATTTTCCTGGCCCAAGCGAGGCCATGAGTGTTTTCAGCCCCCTGCTCCAGCTCAACTCAGAGTCCAACAGAACCCTAAAATTCTGGGGAGCTGCTATCCAAAGCTGCTTCCCAGACCTTGGGGGCCGCCCTCCTCGCTGCCAGGACCCCGGCCTTGAACTCCCGGATCTGCACACCCTTCCCTCCGCGCTCCCCCAGCCTTGACCCCAGCAGCTCCTCTCCTGGGCCGCCCTACACTCGGTCCGGGCCAGGCTGAGGCCACAGGCGTCTGCACGTGGGTGCTGGAGCCGCAGGCGGGTCTGCCGCGAGGTCCCTCTGAGGGGAGGCACAGGCACCGTGGCCGGGGCCCCTCGGGCTGTCCCAGACCGCACCTCCGGAGCGGGGCTTAAAAACAGTGGGGTGTCGGCGCCCAGCCGAGCTCGGGTTTGTTTGTCGCCGACAGCGTTTTCCTCCCTCCTCGCTTTCCGAAGGGCCGGGGATCGCGAGGTTCCCGGCAGGCACAGCCTGAGCCGCGGTTTGGCCCCTCTGGCCGCGCCCTCTCCAGCGCGTCTCTCTGGCCCAGCGTCCTCGCCACTTCGCCTCTTCGCCTCTTCTCGCCCTGGGCCTTGCAGGGCAGCCAGGAGTCCGGGATCAGGCGCCGAGACCGACGCTTCCCGCGGGGCTCAGCTCGGGGCGTCCGAGTTGGCTTCTGGGGTCCCCGCGTCCCGCCGCGGGTCGCAGGCTCCGGACGCGGGGGCCACGCAGCCCGTGGGTGGGCGGTGAAGCCCGATCCTGCGGGCTCTCGGGAGGGGGGCTGTGCTCGGTGTGGCCCGAGCCACCCTCCCGGCTTCCGCAGCCCCGGCGCAGGGTCTCTGGAAAGTTTCGCTGAAAACCGACGCTCGGCTAGAGAGCTGCTCCGCAGAAAGAGCCTTGGGCGTGTGACTCCTGGGGGGGGGGGGGGCGCTCGGACAGAGGGACGCGCGTCCTCCTAATGGGGCTGGAGAGGCAGGTGCATCTCCCTCCACCGGACGCCCCTCCTTGGCTTAGTTCATTCCGAGCACATTCCCAAAGCCTTTTTACTGTTTCTCCTCTTGCTCCCTTGCTAAGCTGAAGAGCATGAACCCGGCAGGGGTCCACATCTTGCACCTCTGGGTGTGCGTCTGGCCCCGGACTCGGTCTATGGATGCAGGGAGGGTCGGCCGTGGGGTCCCTCGGGCCTGGGGGCGCTGGCTGGCCCCAGGGGCAGTTGCCTCCGGGGAGGGTCCCTCCAGCGGGGAGGCTGGCATCTCCAGACTGGGGGAGGAGAGGAGAGCCCGAAATCTAGCAAGGTTAAACTTCCAGGCCTCAACTAAGAGTTTCGGGCGCCACCGCTCTCCCAGAGGAAGGGGGCTTTTGCAATTTCTGCTGGGCATCGGGGCAGGCGACAAAACTTTGCTCTATCCGGCAGCTTCATAAAAAGAAGTCTGAGGGGAAATAAGAGCTCCAGCCACGGGGGCTGTGAAACAAACCTTGGGCTTTGCCAGACCAGGCTGCATGCCGCTGTCTTTTGGGGGGACATAGCCCAAGGCCCCAGAGCCTGGGATGTGGGGAGTAGCAAAGATTTGGTGGGAGTAGCCAACACTGGCCTCACTTCGCCTTCCCATGTGTGACTTCTTGGCCCCAAAAGTTTGGTCAGGGGCCCGGGAACACGTCTAAAGAGGTTTTTTTCTAGCGTGGGCTTCTCAAGATATCTCCACTCAGGAGGGGGTTGCTATCCTTTCAAGTGTAAAGCATCGTTTACTCTGAAATGAAGGGACCTTCTGCTTCGTGTTTCTAGATTTAACACTATTTTAAACTCGAGGACTTTCCAGAAAGTAGTCAATTTAAAATGAACGCACTCTGGCCAAAACCAATTTTCACCCTCGTGGCCAGGCAATCTTGTTTTTGGCACTGATGATTTGAGAATTTACCCAGATAGGCAATGAAAGTCAGGGTCCACCTGCAAACCCACATTCCCTGGGACTCTCTCTGAAGCTTACCACAAAGACCCTACCCTCCTCAAGAGTCCAGAGCTGATGTTTTTTCTTCCCAATAAATCCAGAGACCCCAGAAGATCTTGTTCCCAAATCTCCTCCTCCCTGGTTTCTGTCCTGTTTTTAAAGAAATCTTCTCTCCTAAACTCTAGGCAAAAGGAATTTCTATAACTGAGGAAAGAGTTTCAGGATTTTGGGGGATCATCCTAATGTTGGAAGCAGTATCTGTTTTCAGTTCTATTCAGTGACTGAGAATAAAACAATCTGGGCTTTTGGTTCCTTTCAGCCCAGTCCCCTGTGACAGCAGACTTTGCAGGTGTTTAAATTGATGACTGGAGGCAACTCCAGGAATTCCTATTCCAGCAACAGGAACTCAAAAGCCAGCAGTGCCCTGATGTGGACTGTGGCCTTACTCCTTTGCAGCCCCCAGGTTCAGTCCCGCAGCCCACCCCTGGGCCACTTGTAAGGACCAGACCTTTGGAAACAGAACTCAAAAGAAGGAAGCGATTCAAGAGAAACTCGTTTTCCTGATTGATGAAACTTTCCCTCCCCTCCTCATTCTAAATAATAAACTCCCGGGAAAGGCTGGAAGGTTGCCTTGTGTTGGTTTCAAATAAATCCTCAACAGGCTCTTTCCTCACTCAGAGAAATGAATCACACTAGGGAAACAGATGATTATTCCCCCATTTGTCTACCCTAAACTCACTGTAGCCCCTCACTTTGGTTTTTCTCCCTGGCTGAGGGCTTCGTGATAATGGGAAAATAAAAAGGAGTGGAGGAGAGTGAGTCAGGTAGAAGGGGACCCACTGAGGTCCCCTCCCAGAGAAGGGCATGGTTGGGCTGGCATGGGGCCCCTCCGGAAGGGCCGGGCGAAGCCTTCCTTACAAGGACCCTCTTGGCTGAATCCTGGAAGGAAGAGAACATGGGTCTCAACCAATTGTGAGGTGATACTGCATCTAATTCAGGGGCAGATCCTGGGGCTGTGTATTTCCACCATGGTTCCATTTTCCTCCGTGTGCTGTTAGAGTTCCACTCAAGCTCGATTTCCTGTCCTTTTAAAACAAATCATCAAAAGCTTCTACTAGATTACTCTTGTTGATACAAACTATTTGGAAGTGTTACTGGGCTAGGGAATGAGCTCAAGGAGAGAAAAGTAATTGATTAAAGTGACCCCTGTTTGAGCCTCATTTAAACTGAAGATGCCCCGTGTATTTGGCTAATCAGAACAGCAATCTTCTAAGGGGGGAAGAAAGGAGAATTCTAGCTATAAATCTTCAAGCTGCTGAGCCTTGGACAGTCGTTTGCCTCCCTGGAGCTCACCTTACAAAGCAGAGAGGCTCCTCTTTCTCTGCAGGCAGCTGCCACGGGGCAGGCGGGCAGCAGTGTGGGTGCCTGATTATTTTATAGGAGCCGCTCTTTGTTGGCTTCTTCAACACATACTGGATTTTAACATGGAAAGGAAAGACTCAACGGCAAAGTCGATTTAAAAGTAAAACAATTGAACTTACTACTTCCTCCTTGTTGGTTGCCAACACTGCCAGAGCAGTCTCCGCTCTGCCCCTCACTTCCTGCTACTTTCTGTTTCCAGGTTACTTTTAAAAAATCACAGTTGCTGAGTTTATGAGGGTGCAATTACTGCAGAGAAATAAGGAGCTAAAACTGCTAGACTGCAAATATGGATCATGCTCCATTTGAAGGACATCTCCTTGCAATAATTAGTTCCACTTTATCCATCCTCTTTATTTGTAAAAGACCAGAGAAAAATCTTCACATCCCCCCATCCAAGTCTCTTACCCACCCCCAGACACACTTCACAATGGACCCCACAAGTTTCCCATTCCACTACCTCTGTGTTCTAAGATTTTAGGAAAAGGCAAAACCAAGATTTAAAGGTTCTTTTTTATTTGAAATCTCATCCAGAAACACTGGTTATTAATAAATATATCATAGTTATCAAGAATATATAAAAAATAAAGACAGGTATTGTCTTTGAGGCCCTAACAAAATATTTCAAGCAAATGTTCAGGAAAATAAAAAGAGCACCCTCCCCAACCCACAGTGAGCTTTCAAAGGTGATAACAGAAAGAGTCACCCACCCCACATGCAGAATAACTGAGCAAGAGGGGTGGGCAAGGTACTGGATGGAGTCCAAGCTTTTGCAATCCAGGCCCCCAGAACAGCAGGAAGGTTTGGAGTGAAGTTTGCAGGGTGTGGGGTAGGGGAAGAAGCACGTGTATGAGTGTAAGTCTTTGTACTCTGCCCCCTGTTCATTCCATACAACCACAGACAGATACGTGGAGGACTTCGGAGAATTCACTAATAAATCCTTGTTACAAGGAAAATGGCACCGAGGCCTGCACAATATGGTTAGAAAAGAATCATTTAGAGCCTGCATGCATTCTTGTGACCTACATTTTGTGGAAAGGAAAACCCACAGAGGTGTCATGCCCTGGACCGGAGTTGAGATTCAAAACTTGAGTCTGGAGATATTCTCTCTCTCTCTCTCTCTCTCTCTCTCTCTCTCTCTCTCTCTCTCTCTCTCTCTCTCTCCATTGTCTCTAGAAAAACTATGGCAAAGCCAGAGACAACCATAACTGCATCCACCTCAGGGAAATATTTACATTTGTTTTGCGCAGAAGGGATGGCCACCTTTTTCTGAGGTGAAAACACAGAGCCAGAGAAAGCCAACTCGGAAAGTTCCTCCCCAAGTTTTTAACTACACCGATCCCATCTTTATACAACAAATGCGGTTTCTGACAAGAGCATATGGCAGTGAGAAATACTGGCGCGGCAAGGGGAAAAGCAGCATGCATGCAAACACGACGTCTGGGCCAGAGTCCCCTTCGCTACCACCTAGAAATCGCAGTTTGGTTTTGGTCTCTTCCCCACCCCCGGGGGTCCAGGGCGAGGCGAGACCTCTCGGCGGCGTGGAAGGCCGCGGACCCCGCACCCGCAGGCCGAGGGCCCAGCCTCCCTCGACCGTCCGGGCCCCGAGGCCCCTCCCGCCGCTCCGCCCTGGTCCTCCGCAGCCGCAGCCCGGGCCGCCCGCCGCTCACTTGAGCAAGTCCTTGGACTCGGCCGACAGCCGGGCCATGCTGGCGGTGGAGAGGGCGGACAGGTGCGGCGGCGGCGGCATCTGGCAGATGGTGCAGGGGCAGGGCAGCCCGGCCCAGTGCTGGAAGCCGCTGCCCAGCTGCAGCGCGGGCGGCGTGGAGGGCGCCTTGAGCAGCGAGTGGGGCGGCCGGATGGTGCCGATGGCCGGCAGGGAGGCGGCGGACAGCGGGGACGAGGCGTTGCCGGATGACAGCGCGCCGCCCAGGATGGGGTGCACCGGGTGCACGGCGCTGGCTGCGTGGGCCGGGTGGCCGGCCGAGTGTCCTACGGTCCCGCAGTGGAAAGCCGAGTGGTGGCCCCCGTAGATTTCGCCGACCAACCTCTTCATCTCCTCCAGGGAACTGGTGAGCATGAGGATGTAGTTTCTGGCCAGCAGCAGAGTGGCGATCTTGGAGAGCTTGCGCACCGAGGGCCCGTGCGCATAGGGCATGACCTCGCGCAGTCCATCCATGGCGAGGTTCAGGTCGTGCATCCGCTTGCGCTCGCGTCCGTTGATCTTCAGCCGCAGCTGCTGTAGGTCCTGCTCCGACAGCTGCTTCTTGATTTTGTACTTGCTGCTCTCTCCCGCGGTCTTGGCGCCGGTCCGCGAGAGGCTTTCCCCGGGCATCTTCTGCACCATGTCGCCCTGCGTGGACGACACCGAGTTGAGGCGGCTGTCTTGGTGGTGGTGGTGGCGGTGGTGGTGGTCCCTCAGGTATAACTCATCCATGTCCGGAGATGAGGCTCTGCTGGAGACAGAGCTCGAATCAGAATTCATTTTATTACAGCGGATGCGGCCCGACCGTGGGGGAGGCTTTAGGCGGGAAATTAGAGAATCTTGAGTTAAAAAAAAAAATCCGCACTGGCCGGCAACCCACTTCTCCCCTGTGAGACGTGAGAAGAAAAGCCCAGGGCGGCACTGCCCTGCCCCGCCTCTCCCTCCCGCTCTGAGTCTCTCTGGTGAGGCTGCTTCCTGGACAGCTAGTTGGTGTGTGCTTGAACTAACCTCACGCTGAAAACGAGGGGCTTTTATAGAGCTGCGGCAGAGAAAAGAGACAAAAGGAGCCCTCCTATCTATCCTGGGCTCCTCAGGATGACGTGCCATCCTTCAGGGTGGGGCGCTCTGCGGTCCCAGTTAGCGCGGATTCCTATTCATATTCATGGAGGACACCTCTGCTGCGAACCGCTAGGAGCCCCAGGCACAAAACCCTCTGATTGACACACGCACTCTCCGGCTCCCGCCTTCCTGATCTTTTCAACTTTCTTCCACCCCACCCCCTTCCCAATTTCCCTAACCAAATCTTAAACAAGGGGAACCAAAAGGAGGGGAGAGAAGCAGGCCAGACGGTTGGTGCAGGTTCCTGCGGGTCCGGAGAGGGGAATGGAAGCATCCTTTCCTTCCTTTCAGAGCTACTCCCAAGTTTAGGGAAACGTGAGCGAAAGGGAGGGGTCTGAAGGAGAGATGCGATGGAGGGCAGGTGCCATGGGCGAGGCCTGGGAAGGAGGAGGACTGGTACCCCAGGTTGGCCCTCTGAAGTTTTTCTTCATTAGTTCTCCTTTTGTAAACAAGGACATTCCGCTAACGTTGTTCATTTTGTTTATTGGGCCCTTCTGGTGTGGTTGCAAAGGGATGTCCATATTTGGTGGTGGGTTTTTCCCAGTCAAGGTTGTAGGGAGGGGTCTCTCGTTTTGTCTTCTGGTTGGTTTAAAAGAGATAGATTCTTGAAAAATTCAGTTTTGTACACTTCTCTAACTTCTGGGATCTGGAACGGAGGGGAAATCCCAGTGTTACAGGAAGAGCAACTTGGGACGGGAAAGGGGGCAAAGGAGTGGGGAGAACGAGAGGAGAGTTAGGGACTGGAAGGACTTCTCGAGCCTGAGAGAGTCTCCTTTCGGCTTAGGCTTCCCGGCCTCCCCTGCTCCCGGAAGGATGCTGGGGCTGTCCCCGCGGAAGCTCGGCAGGGCCACAGCTGGTCACGGTGCTGAGAGCAACCGTGGCTGAGCTCCAGTCGGCCTCCCGGGGAGGTCCACCCGGTTTCCGGGTCGAAGGCTGAGCTACTTTGATTTGTGCGCCTGCGGACCGTGGTGGACAACGGAAGGACCCGGAGAACCCCTCAAGTGTGCGCTCGTGGGCACCGCAGTCCGGAGCAGAGTGGTTTCTGATAAAGAGGCGGCCTGGCGTTTGGAGAGTTCACTGCAAGCGTGGAGGTGGGCACAGATTTTCCTTCCCCCTTGCTGTGTTTTTGTCCATCAAGACGTTAGCCCTGCAACCCAAAGGGCGGGAAGGCAGAAATCCCTTGAAGAAAGGCCGCACCGGCGGTGGCCTCAGCAGGACCCGCGCCCCACAGGCTCCCAGCTTGGAGGAGCCAGGGACAAGCGCTGCGTTAAGGCGCAGTGTCCCCATGAAAAGTGTCAGACTGACTCAGTCCCCGAACCTCGGGCTGTTGGGACCTCTGCGCCCCAGCGTCCTCCAGGAGAGGGAGCGGAGGCCCCAGTTTCTGTGGACGCACGTGGAGCATCTGCACCAGGAGGATGTGTGCCCTGTCCCGAGTTTGCACCTCTCGGAAGCTCTGCAAACCCACGCACAGTGGCGCCGGGAAAGTAGCCCTGGCGCTGCCAGACGGCCGGGGAGACCCTACAAGGGAGTGGATGCTTCTACTCCGAACTTAGCTTCTGTGTAAAAGAAAGTGGCCCACCGCCCATCTTCAGGGTCAGGACATGAGTGCCCTTGAGGACTGGACGCAAGCCTCCGACTGACTGCATCCACCCCGGTGGGAAGGAAATTTCTTAAAAGGAAGAATCCAAGAGATTTGAGTGGGTGTGGAAAGATGATCAAATGCACATCTAATTTCTAACAAAAGGATTTTAAAAAAAAAAATTTCACCAGACTCGCCCATTTTAGCTAATATAGTGACATCTCGAGCGGCATTTGTGAGAAAAAAAGCTTCCAGAACTTCTACATTCCAGGTGATGGGCCGTAGCGAGGGGAGGCAGGTCGTCTGGAGCACAGCCGTTCTGGGTCCAGTGGCAGCGGCGGTGGGGGGCGGGAAAAGGGGTCCGTGACGAGGAGGGGCTCCAGGCACTGGGCCAGCCCCCGCAGTCCTCCTGGGCCACCTTCGTAACCCTTGGGTCTCTTCCAGGCCCAAGCAGAAAATGCTGCACCTGAATTTTTATTTCAAATTAGTAAACTCGAATTAGAGCAAATGGGTTTCAAAACAAAGGGGTAGAAAATTTGTGCCGCTGCAAGGGAAGTTCCAATTTTCTCAGCTGGACAGTGCGCAGTGAAGTTCAAAGTGTCTTCGAGGTAGTCAAGAAGGTGGCCAGGGAAAACAAAAGGGGAAAGGGTACAATAGACCTCGAAATAAAAGTGGAACCACTCACTGGCAGGACTGGAAAGACTGGGGCCAGGTTCTTCGAGTCCCAGCCAGAAGCCTTTTTGGGTCCTCCTGACCTTTCTGCCCAAGAGGGACTGGGAGGAAGGCCACGATTAGCAGCTCAGACTGGGGCTGTGCTAGGCCAGGAAGTGGAGCCGAGGCTTTGCCAGACTGGAAACACACACACACACACACACACACACACACACTCCCTGCAATGGGAGATCCGAAGTGTCCAGCCCGAGACCTCCTGAGCCCCAGACTCACATGGATGCCACGCGCCCTCCGTTGCCCTGCTCCCAGCGCCTCCTGCTTTCCCCAAGGCTGGAAGGAAGGTGTGAGCGTGGGAGACCCGTGGCCCAGCGCCCTCAGATCAACACTTTTGGTAAGAACTTTTAGGAGTTCCAGGCTCTCCTGACAGGACAGCTCCCCAGTCTCCCACTCCCCGTCCTTTGGAGGGACTAACAACTAGAAGGGATCTGGGAGTGCAGGAGCCACGACTTTGCTTTCTGCAGAATGGGCTGATCCTCTCCAGGCCCAAAAGGCGGCGCCACACTCAGCACCTGGCCTTTCCTGTGGCTTCTGGCTCTGAGGGTTCACTGGCAATCCCAGCTCAGATCTTCCACAAACCACTGAATACAAGAAGGGGAAAGCCAGAGGCTCCAGGGCCCCAGGACTTCTTCCTGGGGTGTCTCTGCCGTCGCCTACAGGGTCAGCACGGAAGGGGAGATTAAAGGAGCCACTATTGGGCCAAGGCTGCACGCAGCAGTCCGAAGAGGCCACAGCTAGACAATTGCCCTGGCCTTGGCCCAGGCCAGAGGCCCCTCCAGAGGGTTGGGAGAGCCAGGAGCTCCCGCCTCGGCCGGCGCCGAGGGGGCTGCTGCGCCCTCCAGGGCCACACGCAGCGCCCTGGGCACAAGGGAGGGAGGGAGGGCGGCCGGGGGTCTCCCGCAACAGGTTCAACCCAAGGCTGGACGGCTGCTTCCCGCCTGTCCAGTAATGGCTTTGGGCAGAGCCTGGGAGTTTTCCAACCTTCCTACCACACGTGAAGGCAGCAGGTCCGCGCGGGGGCCGGGTTGGGGAGTTGCCCAGAGGTCCCCGCGCCCTCGGAGCTCACAGCCTCAGCTCTGGAGCCGCAGGCTGGGCGGCCGCGGCTGGCGGGGGATCGAGAGCTCCAGAGACTGTTCGGCTCTTCCCAACACCGCCCTCTGCCCCCCATCACCGGAGAAGGTCCCTTACCCAGTGCCCAGTGCCCAGGGCCTGCCGCTCGGTGCCCGACGCCCACCGCTCTGCAGCTCCAGCAATCGAGTTCCTCTCCAGCATCTGTTGGCTCTGCTGAAGGCTGCGATGGTTTGGGCTCTGGAGCGAACCCCCACCCCGCCCCCACGCCTTGCGAGAGTCCAGCAGCAAATGTAGGCAGGGCTGACCTGCAGGGAGGCGACTTTGAGGTGCAGGTCACTCAGCAATGTCCAGGGTTCCCTTCGTCCCTCAAGACTCAAACTTGACCCACAAACTTTTCGGCAAAACGGAAAAGCAGGAGGCTGTTGAAAGGAGCTCACATTTCGACTAATCCTTTTCCAAAGAATCAAAAACAAACAAACAAACAAACAAGAAGATAGAAGGGAAATACTAGCATTTCATGTCCAGTCGCGTGCAACCAAGGAAAATCCTCGAAGCGGTTTTAGTTGACCACAAGTAGGACCTTCCCATAGAGGTTTTCTTTTCTTTTCTTTTTTACCGGAGTAAAGTAGTAACTCCGTGAGGCAAGAGGGCCTGGGGCTGGGAAGGGAGGCAACTTTTTAAACAACTAAAATCGACATAAATCACACCCAAGCTGGAATGATCCCTTATTGCACCCACGCAGCAATCTCTAAGTCCCTGCATTTGCACGCCCAGATCAAAATTCCAGCAATTAGACAGGGGCTGCAAGGGTCTAAGAAGGTGAATCTGGACAGGCTGACTAAAACCTTTCTCTTTTCCGGGTATCCCTGTATTTTAAAGAGCATCTTGAAAACTTACTGATCTGCCCAGTCTTTCCCCCTCATCCTGATGAAAACAGCACTCCCTGAGAGGAAAACAGCAGAAGTTGAAGGACAGCAAAATTTTATGAGAGTAATAACTGCTCTTCACAATGTTGGATGTGAGGCCGGAGGGTGCCAGGAAGCCGCAGAATAACATGAAATGATGAGATGCTAATCATGTGAATATATAGACAAGTTAATACACTGGCGGAAATAGAAGTTTGATTTTAATGGTGCATGAGCCGCAAGGCTGGCTAAAACTTACAGATTCATTATAATTACTTAAAGGCTCACTGAAGTCAAAGGGGATATGAACTTCTGGGCTTCATTTATAGGATTTTGTTCAATAGTGAACATGTTTCAGTATTCTTTTCTTTCTTTCTTTTCTTTCTAGGAACATCTGCTCAATTGCCAAAACCTTGACTGAGCCTTCCTTCTGCAGAAAGCATATAAATGTAGAAAGCACAGAAACAGTTTCCCTCAAGATTGGAAAGTTTAGGTTGATTTAAATATCGCTGGTGATCAATCACATAAATTGATGAGTTACGTTGAAATTTGCATACT